TACTCTGGAAATGATTAGCTACCTTTTTACCAAAAGCTTCCCTTCAGGGGCTCGTGCTGTGTTTCTCGCTTTTATTTTTATTTTGTGTGTATGTGTATGTGCGTATGTCTGTCGTACCTTTGTGAACAGGAGTTCAGGTGCCTGCAGAGGCCAGTAGAGAGCCTCAATCTCCTGTCACCAGCATTACAATGATTCCTAAAGGCCAACATGGGTGCTGGGAACCAAACTTGGGTCCTCTGAAAGAGCAGCAAGTGCTCTTCATTTTTGACATGCATCTCCAGTCCCATCACCTACTTTAAAAAAAAAAAAATCAACAACAGAACTTTGTTAGTTATCATAATGTGTGTACAGTTGGGTGCTCACTAGTGTTCAAGACAGACATTGCCTCCTGTCTTCTGACCCAGAGCCCCTCATAGACTGCCCGGGGACATTCAGAAGCACAGTGTGGAATTTCAAAGGACTTCTCTGAAGTTTCTGTTTAACAGCCTTAGCCTAAAGTCATCCTGTCCTACTATGTAGCCTAAATAGTGTAGGTGACCAGAACGTCACCCGAAAAATGACTGTGGAAGTCCAGAATATGCTACACCATAAACATCTCTTTAGCATTTGGACTACTTTGAGACGATTATTTTGAAAATGTAGCAGTAATGATTAAAGAAGAGATTATGGAGTTGAGGAGGAGTGGGGGGCTGGAAGAAGAGGGTCGGGGAGAGACAATGTAAACAGTACTCATGCATGAAATTCTCAAAAATTACGATAAAATAAAGGTGCGATTTCTGCTTCATTAGAATAGGAAGATGGTTAACAAGTTATTTTTAAGTGTGGCAAATATCAGGAGGTGTATTAGAATTAGATTATGCCATGTGGGACTGATTGGCAGGCCCTGCAATGTGGGAAGCTCACAATCTTGTCTTGATCAGCAGTGTTTGCAAAGCAGGCCTGAAAGGCATGGCCCCCAACCCATAAAGAATGAAGCAAGCAGAAACTAATTAGAAATGTGATAAGCAATGATTAGGCAGTTACTTCAGGGGGAAAATGAACAAGATGAGCAGATGCCAACTGGGATAGCCTCTGTGGAAAAGGATAGACAAGCTTGCTTAGATGAAAAGTTCCCTGCCTGTCACCTGGGGAAGCAAGTTCCCTCAAGATGGGGCCATTAGCATGTCATTTGCACACAGATTTTTTTAAAAAAGGAAAAGGTCACCACAAAACAGGAACTCCTAGGAGCCAGCAAGCCCTGCATTTAAAAGACAGTGATTGGCAGGAGGGATGGGGTCCCTGCAGAGGGTGTTTGGAGGGCTGTTGCCAACTGCTAATACTCCTGACCTCCAGTAGCCAGAACTGAAATGACTGGTGTGGACAGCCTGGAGGAGGGTCAGAAGACCTTGGCTCCTGTTTGGGCTGAGGCTCTTGAGTCTGAGCCCAGAGACCTTGTGCATTTGGAAAAAAAAAACAAAAAACAAAAAACAAAAAACAAAAAAAATCAAGACTTTCTCTTCCTGTGCGCCTGCCTCTGTTGTTTGACTGGTGCTGTGGTTTGAGTGTGAGTTGAGGCCTACCCTTGAGCTCTAACTGGTGGTGGTATTTCAGAAAGTTTTGGAACTTTGGGGGGGAGGGCTGGGCAGAGGGGGCCTCACTGGAGAACTGGGTCATCAATGGTCCACTTGTAGCTTTGTAGCAAGGTTCCACGTCTGAGTTTGGCTTCATGATCATGGACACATGATCCTGTTCCTGCTGCTGTATCTGTTAATCCCACTGAACTTGAACAAGACCACTATCTCAAAACAATTTTGAGCCAAATTTGAAGCAAGCTTTAATTAAATACTGACCAGGATGATGGACTCTGGCCAGGTCCATTCCTGAGTTCCCAGAAAATGGCGGCGAGTCACATTTTGCAGAATCTTAAAAAGGTGTACCCATAATGCCATGCATTTCCCACCAGGTTCAATGTGTATATTTGGACATACTTCCTGCCTGTGCACCTCCTGCCTACATCCATTCAGGGGCAAGCATACATCCTGACATATTTCCTGCCCATGTACCTCCTGTCTCCATGTGATCAAACACATCCAGTGCAGTTAATCTCCCTGCTTGTTAGGGAGATCAAAAACAAATGCTTAGCTGGGCGGTGGTGGCGCACGCCTTTAATCCCAGCACTCGGGAGGCAGAGCCAGGCGGATCTCTGTGAGTTCGAGGCCAGCCTGGGCTACCAAGTGAGTTCCAGGAAAGGCGCAAAGCTACACAGAGAAACCCTGTCTCGAAAAAACCAAAAAAAAAAAAAACAAAAAACAAAAAACAAATGCTTGTTATCTTCCATAAATAACAGCCTCCATCATTTCAGGAAGTATCTGTCCTTGGGCAAGGGGCTTACAGGTTAGAGTCATTCATGAAACCATGGATCTCTTAGGCACAGTAATTAATACTTAAAACATAACTTTGGCTCTCACATATCTTTCATTGCCAATCATAACGGACTGTGTCACCTTGAACTGAAAACCCAGACCTGTCCTCCCTGCTTGTCAGGTATTTGATCCCAGCAGCCAGAAAAGTAATTCAACTCACAAGTCAGGCCATTGTGCCCATTGTGCCCTCCAGGCCTCTGTCTTGCTGCCTCTAACCTCACTGGCATTCGAGGAGGGCAGTTTGATTCCAGAGCCTGGCTGCTGTCGTTAGAATACTCCTGTAACTGGAGTAGGAACTGAATACAAACATCCAGATGAACATACAAAGGAAGCCAGCCTGCAAAGGAAGACTGAAAGTTCATCCTTACCTGGGCTTTATCCAAGGAACAGAGCATGCACATACATGCACGTGCAGGGAGTAAGGTGGGGAGGGGCCCCTCAGGTAGAAGAGGCAAGGATCATGAGGATGATGCAAAGGACCAGAGAGCAGATGGTCAGAGGTTTTGGGGGCTCTTTCCTCAGCCCACTAGGGCACTTCCATTCCTGATTTAACATAAGTACTGTTATCTCCCAAGACTTTAAAAAACAAAGCCAGTTCTTTGTTCATGTATCATCCAAAAAAGAACATTTGTGAAAGTCCAGGCTTCATGTTCTATTCTTTCTAATACCTGTTGAAATAAAGGCATATTTGCTAAAAACAAACAAACAACAACAAAACAAACCATGCTCTTGATGGCTGGCAGACTGTGAAACCATCTCAGGCACCAGCACACAGCTTACACCTGAAGAAAAGCTATGTGCACTCAGCCACTCATTCCCCCCATTCTTCTCTCATCAAGAATTTCCTCAGACCTTGTTAGGAGAATGCTAGGCAGATTAAGCAGAGAGGAGAGAATGTTCTGGTTTTCCTGGAGCAAGCAGACACATGGGGAGGCAGATACAAAGACGGAAATGTAGACGACAACCACACCCCACGGTGTGGCCTCCGTTCCACTGGGTTGGCCAGTTTTAATCAGGAGACAACATGAAATACAGAAAAGCAAGCATTTCAGTTACTCAAAATTCTGGTTCCTGGATAACTGGGCTTTGCCCCTGATTGTACATGGGCAATAAAATTCTTCCCCTAGGAGGTGCATGCTCCCTCCTCCTGGGCCTGATGGAGGACCAGGGCTAATGATCATTGAGAAAGTGTTTTGTTCATATTGCCAACACTCAGGTAAGCAGATCCTTTCCAGCCCCTGGCCTGTACCACATGTCTCCTTCCCTCTGTTTTTAATGCTGTATCTAGACTTTTCCTGCTTTCATGCTAAGTAGTAATTTAATATCTGCCAAGGTGCAGGCAAGGTTCTCCAAGTTCAAAATACAAATGCAAAGTTCTGTGTGGACCACCACGGGCAGTCACCAGCATGCTAGTAAGAGGATGGAACACACAGGGCAGATGCACATTCTCTAAAGCAGGCCTCTGTGACAGTCCTGGTACTAACAGCCATATGGGCCAAAGCAGTTCCTGGGATGGGGAGAGAGGCCATGCTGGCACACCAAGAACCACCACGCCTGGACACAGGGATGACAAGAGACAGCAAGGTGCCAACCCCTACTGCTTCGTCTATTATTAGTGAGCTTCTGTCAGGGATCGTTTTTCAGTTGTGTGTGTGCTTGTGTGTGTGTAACACAAGTGCACACAGGCAGATGTGGGCGGAGAGGCCAGAGGTAACCCTCCAGTGCTGTTCCTTAGACCTTGACATAGTCTCTTCCTTGAGACCTGGGGCTCAGTTAGGCGAGCCTGGTTGACCAGAAAGCCCCAAGGAGTCTGTGTCTGCCTCCTCAGCTGCAATTATAAGCATGTGACATCACCTGTAGCTTTTTTGCCTGGGATCTGAGGGCCAAGCTCATTTCCTTATGCTTGTAAAACTGCCCTGTCTCTCCTGGATTGTTTTTAAAGGGACCGGAGGAGTCTGTTGTGGAATGCTCCCCCCACCCCCAATGTAAGAGCCAATGCCGTCTTCAACAGAGTGGCTGTGACTACCCTCAAGAGACCTTTAAGACTGGGCCTGCTGCCATCCCCTCACAGAAGTAGGGGTGGGGAGGGTCATCAAATCCTTTCCTCAGAGTCTGTCTACTCCTTCCTTTACCTCCCTCCCAGATGTATGCAATTCTGGTCAAATTGCAAGTGATTTCATGGTCTCAGGATGTGCTGGAGTATATGGATGGAGGAAGGTTAACTGAAGGGGGGCTCAACCTATGCAGCTTTGGGGAAGCCATCATCCATGCGGGAGTGAGACTCTTTGGTGGGTCATTTACACCCCTCTAACTCACCCTGTACCACACTCCATAAGTCAGCATGCTAACTCACTTGCTCGCCAAGTGGGCCTTTGATGAGATCAGTACTTGGTCACTGGCGCCATAATCTGAGGTGAGCAGACAGAACACGGTGTGTGCACATGCACAGGAAAAGTGCACTCCCAACACTGTGAAAAGACAACCTATGTGAAAAAGCCAGGGAGGATTTCTCGATGACATTTTCTGCCATGTTACAGAATAATCCAGTGTGCGAATTGGTTTAGTTACTGGGAATAGCAACAAGGGCCAACCAAGATCGTCCATGAACTTTTGATTTATTTGATCTACTAGACATTTTTATTTATATAAAAGACAAATGGCATAGAATGAAAATAAGTGCTTTAGATTTTGATATAAAAGAATATTGTGCATTCACATTCCTATTTTAATACATGAGTATGGCTGAAGTGTTCAATAAAAGAATAAAACCTTCCTTTTATGCAGAGTAGTGAACAGAAGTCAACATTTTTAGGAATGACAACAATGTTATTCCTTGGTCTTTTTCTTGAATAAGATTTTAAAAAAATGACATAAACAAAACAAGCCACAGTAACATGATACTGTGTTCCAGTTTCTGATGATGACCCGGAAGTGAGATCACTTTTGAACCCTAGAAATCCCACTAGTGGACCGGTATTCTACAAATTCACCGCTAGAGGGCGGTGAACAACAGCTATTGGGAGGGCATCAGCAAGCCCTAAGGTGCAAGTGGGTTTGGGGGATTTCCAAGGTGTTGCGCAGCACACGTCCATGGGGCAGAGTACATAGACTTTTGTCCCACCCACAACTTGACCATGTATCCTAAAACCCCTGTGATCTGAGGCTTCCCATGGTCCAGACAGAATAAAAGGCTCCTTGGTGGTCCTTCAATCATGTTCCTATTTGGTTGAAAATAAGTAGCTTCAAAAACACACTTTAAAGAAAGAAGCTGTTGCTTGCAACATCCACATTTGTTGGTGGATTAACAAGCTTCCTATTAAAGCACATTCTTTGCTCTCATCCAAGTGGACACATATTCCCAGACTTTTCATGGGACTTTTGTACGTCCCCTATTCAAATCCTCGCTCATAGTTTCTACAAAGGTTAGGACCATGCAGAGACCAAGAACCATAAAGAAAGGTTCATAGAGCAGAGAGCTTCCCTTGCAGAGACAAATGGAACTTAATATGCATACAAAAGAGACTTTGACCTAATGGGAATGATGCACAGGAGGTCCTCTGAGGTCCAATTCATGGTCAGCTTCAAATCATAACACCAGACAAGGTATGTGCAGTTTAACATGTTACCAAAGCGAGGTGGCATGAATGCACATTTCTAGTATGTGTATGCATGTGAGGATGCACATGTGGTATATGTATGTCTGGAGGTCAAAGGTCAAAGATAGATGTTGTTTGTCAGGATAGATGTTATTTGTTCACCTTGCTTTGGAGACACAATCTTCTTAGCGGACCAATAAGCTCCCAGAGATGTTCACCTCCCCAGTGCTGAGATTACAAGTGTGTTCCAATGAACATGGCTGTTTTCATGGGTTCTGGGGGATTGAACTCATGTTCTCTTGCTTGTGAAGCACTCATTTTTATTTGCTGACCTATCTCTCCAGCTCCCGAATGCTCATTTCTTAATGGCTCTTGACTGGGAGCAGCTCTCATTTCCACACTTGGGTAGGTGTGGGTAATGTGAAGACTGACTGCTTACCAGTGAGAAACAAAGCAGCTGTGTGTCACAGAATCATACCTTCTTGCTGTAAATTATGCCCTCTGAGAGGGACCCAGGAATCCCTTCCCTCCTTATCTAGAAGTAAGATTTTTCTGTCACATCTCAAATACTTAAAATGAAGCTCAACTTTTTCAGACATTGTGCTGACCAAGCAAAATCTGGTCTCAAAGTGTCCCTGGACACAGTTGTACAGTATGGGCAGTGTGTGTCATTCAAATCCTGTCTGCCATGGGATTTGGGAACCTGGGAAGATAGAACCCTTTGGTGCTACCATGGCAAGCTAGAAACGCCAGCAGGAAAGTGACAAAAATTAAACACAATGAGCCAGCGGTGTTGGATGTAGGACATGACACAATAAACAAATGATAACAGCTGGGAATGAATAATAGTAACTCAGGCACAGAAGAAAATCAAAGGACACAATCTATTAGTAGATGGTGGGACAATTTTATGGGTGAGGAAACTGTCTTCTTTGATTCCGGTAGTTTATGAAAGTGGAAAGATGGGGTCAAGTTTCTAGGCTAAGCCTGAAGATTCACAAGTCAGATATTAGGCTTGAATGTCCATGATAAAATGAAAAGTAAGGCACACGGGAGACCCTGGGACATAGTGGTGGACTGGAACTTAGCTCCCTGTCTAGGGAAGCACCCTCATGTAGAGGGTAATTATTGCAAAACAAAGTGTTTTGTGGCCAAAGCAGTCTGTGAGGCATGGATCCTTCTCATGCAACTGTCCCCCCAACCCCACATTCAGGGGACCATTGCGTGTATGATTGTCAAGTGCTAAGGCTGTCCCGAGCCCCTTCTGCTCCATTCTGGAGCTCTCCAATAAAAACTAATTTCCCGGGAACATTTGATCTTTTTCTTTGTCTCCATGCAGAGTATGGCTATAGATAGAAAGATATAGACATATATAGATATATAGATATAAAACATAGCTATTCATATTTACATACAGGCATTAATAAAGTGCAAATGTTATTGGCTGTTGTAAAAATCAATCTCATTTCCTGAGGAGGTGCTAATACATCTTATGCCATGACAAAGTCCAAGGCATAGAATGCTCTCTGTTACTTGGCCCCTGCTGCTGCTGCTGCTGCTGCTGCTGCTGCTGCTGCTGCTGCTGCTGCTGTTGCTGTTGCTGCAGTTGTTTCTGAACATGGAGCAGCTATCAGGGAAGAAGGGAGCAAGTCCTTGGTTTCCCAGAAGCATCAGTCAGGACAGCATCCCACTGCCTCGGGTCTTTGGTGAGAGGGGAGCTTCTGGAGGGTTGGCCCAGCCTGCCCAGAAAAAGCTATTTGGTAGTGTTCAGTGAGCCATCTTCTGGAATCTTCTCCTGGGAGCAGCTTCTCCCAGAGAGTCTATCCGGATGCTCCAGCTCACTAAAGCGCTCTGCCACACACTGGGCTGTGAGGCGGGCCTCAGGATCATGGTCCCAGCATTCTGTCAGTGTCTCACACACGATCTGGATGCCCTGCAGAGGAAGGGTGGGTCCCAAGGGCGTCATCAGTGAGTGGTCTCCATGGAATTAGCATCAATACATCATTATGAAATGATGTCCTATCAGAGTAGGACTCAGTCTAAGTGTGTCCAAGGGTGATATCACTCTCCACCTTAGTTTTTGAGACAGGGTTTCTCAGTGAACCTAGAGCTAGCTGATCTCAGGGTTTCTCACTGAACCCAGAGCTCACTGATCACAGGGTTTCACACTGAACCCAGAGCTCACTGATCACAGGGTTTCTCACTGAATCCAGAGCCCATTGACTTGGGATCCTTCTGTCATGTCTTCCTCCACACTTGTCTTATAGGTGCACGCCACGGCACCCAGCTCTTTACATGGGTACCAGGGATCCAAACTCAGGTCTGCATGCTCATTTGCAAACCCTTTACTAACTGTGCCATCTCTCCAGTACCTAGGATCCACCCTTGGTGGCACACATTGTATAGATTTAAGAAATATATCTATTACAGGCTCTAAAAGACCCCCATTTCCCACTTTAGGCTGGATTCTCTTTTTCCCTTGCCTTTCTCGGCCTTTGGAGTTTTACTCTTTCAGAATGTAACATGGCTGGATCATAGGTACTCTTCTGTTTGAGCAGGGTTGAACACCCAAGCCCAGAGTGGGACAGGCATTAGCCTGGGTTCACTTTGTAAAGTCCATAGCTCATAGAATAACTCAGAAGTTGTTCCCAAGACTGCCAAGGGTGACCCCCAAGATGCCCCAGTCATCTCCAGTGACATTAAGCTAGGCCCTTTGACATGGCTGTCTTTGTATGCCAAATATACCTGACTGTAAGATATTTTATAGCCTGTCCTCCCCCAGGCAGCTCCACCCACTGAGCCTCACCCCCACGTAGGAAAGGTGGTCCAGATAGCAAAGTGCTCTTCCACAGGCTGGATTTCATTTTGCATCAAAAAGATTTCTCTTACTATTTTAAGTCCTTTCAGAAAATCAGAAGGTAAGTAAATAGTCTGAGAGGTGGAAATAAGATCAGCTCCTTCCATGTAGAGGCCAGCATTGCCCTGGTGACCTCCATACAGGCAGGACAGATACATGTAACACTCTTGTGGAGAGCTGGCACTTGCCTGCCAATACCAGCAACTTTTCCAACATCTGGGGAGTTCCCCCACCCCCAGTTCTTGATGTGGAATTAATTGCATAATTCACCTAACTGATGGTATTGATTGATGGCCCTGTTAAGAGTAGAGTGTTATTGTTGCTATACCAGAAACATTTATTTTGTTTTGACACAGTAATTACAGGCAGTAAATTAAATTAAATATTAAGCATTACCTTGAAATCAATAGGGCAACAAATCTCATTAAGAGGAAAAATATGTATTATGCAAATTCTTTTCAGAATTTTATCATAATGAATAACGGCTTCATTATAAGAACTTCACAGGAGAGACCTCAAGAGATGGTGACTGAGTTTCAACAGAACATACCATTCCTGCACCTTCTAATTCCTGAGTTTTTTCAAACAGCCTTGCATTTCTAGAACCAAAGACAGTTTATCTGAAAGTCTGGTGAAGACCTTGACCCTGGGAAGCCTGGCTCACCTACTCCTTGATCTACTCCACAGGGCTGGCTCTGGGCCAGGACTGGCTTCCCGAGCAGGCTTCCTGCCCTATTTGTCTTCCTGATTGAACCTGGCTTGCTGTTTCCGGTTCTCACTTGAATGCCCTGCACCTTTAGGCAAACCTATGCACCCGTGGCCAGCAAGGATGAAGGACTTCATCCAAGAGAGTGATAAATGGCTTTGCTGGGTGGAAAAGAATCATTCTTCCAGAGAGACAGAAAAACGCTCTTTCTTCACCGAGGCTCTTCCTTGAATATATCACACATGTGGTCAACTGTCTCTCATTCACAGCCTATTTTTTCTTCCCCTCTCTTCCAACCTCTGTTATGAGCAGCCTTAACTTCCAATTGTTTGGAAGGGATGTCAGAGAGTCGTGTGGCTGTCACTCAACAGGCTGGCCTCCTCCTCCCTCACCAGCTCTTCTTCATTGATTCTCTGGCCTCCCACGCATGCTCATACGGCTTCCCTCTCATCTCCATGCACAGCCAGAAGATACAAGCACATCAACTACCCGACAACCCTGCTTGTTTCCAACTGCAAAGTATTTCTTTGTGAAGTTGAAGAACCCCAGCAGAATAAAGTCAGAGCCCAGAGGGAATGAGATATAGGCTCCTGATGTGAAGGCACGGGAGTCCACAGCAGACAAGCTAGCAAAGTATCTTAACAGTGAAACAAGAGGGCTTGGGAACAGTGGCCAGTGTCTTACTTTAGTCATCTGAAAGCTCTCTGTGTATGCTGTATAAGCCTGGTGAGGGCAACTTACGAGAACAGGGTCATCCACTTATACTGAAATTTTCCTTAGGGACACAAACCTGACAGGGTTACAGAGAACAGGTGCCCTGTACTCAGAGTCAAGCTCCATCTCCCAGAATTCTCTGGCCCACAAGCAGACTTCTCTGCTTGTACCTTCTGACCTTTCAAAGTCAGCACTCCTTACCTGGTGGTTGAGCCAGAAGCTGGGGATTTCAGGCCGTCCTCGGTCTCTCAGGACATTGTCCTTCATGCTCTCCACACAGGGGTGCTCCCTCACCTTGGAACCAAACGGGGGTTCATAATCTTTCACTTCTGTGAAGAAAACAGGAAGACACAGGCCAGTTGAGCATAGGGGAGCACGTGGCTGAGAGACATGTGCTTGGTGAGTGCCTGGCTGGATAATGTGAGGAAATAACGGCAGGATGAATCTGTCATTGCTAGAATACTTTTAGCAATAGTGGATAAAATGAGAAGGAAGGGGTGATGGTGGAAGAATGCTGGGAAATATTCCACTAGTGATGGTTCAGTCCTTCTAGGCATCATGCTAATAGCTGATACCTAGGGAATAAGGCAGACAGGGACCCAGCTTTCCCATCAATGCAGGCATGCTCAATGAGGGGATATTATTTCTAAGGAAGGAAACAGGTTCTTTGGTGGTGGGAAAACCTTACATATCATGGGATGAGAGAGAGAGAGAGAGAGAGAGAGAGAGAGAGAGAGAGAGAGAGAGAGAGAGAGAGAGCTCAGCAGTAAGCATGTGCACCTCCAGGAGACCAGAGTTTGGCTCCCAGCACCCAAGTTGGGGGTCTCACTTACTTCAGCTCCAGGGGATCTGATGCCCTCTTCTGGCCTTTATAGGCACTGCATTCATGTGCACACCTTTATAGGCACACATTCATATACAGTTACACATAATTAAAAAAATAAAAAATAAAATCTTTTTTAAAAGCCCCACATATTACAAATCTTCTGGTCCTCCACAGGCTCATGGTATGCAAACAGATTCAACAAAATGTGTTCAATTTCATGGGAACATCAGCCCTACAAAGTCAAAATTCTGAAAGAGGCTGCAACCTGTATGGTTCCTGAAGACATTTCTAAAGGAAGTAAGTCAGATACTAAAGGGCAAATATTGTGTGGTTCCACATAATGTCTCCCCAGAACTCACTGGAGATTCAGCACCATCGTGAGGTACCAATAGGGAGGGCCAGGTGGGACCTGCCTAGTTGGCTGAGGGAAGTTCTTCCCTAATAAATCTCCTCATGGATTTTCACAGACTGATGCCTCCACAGGTTGTTTGGAGAGTGCGTCTTTTATTACAGCCAGTTTAAAGCTGCTGTGGCAGTACAAGGTCTCATCCAGCACTTGGGATGCTGAGGCATGAGGGTCATGAGTTCAGGGCTAGCCTGGGATACATAGGGAGAACCTATCTAGATGAAACCAGCCAGTCTCCTCATCCTGTGGTGGGGAGTAGAGCGGCACCAGGCTACACTGCTGGATTTCCTTGTCTCCAGAATCCTGAGTCGAAAGAAAGCTTTTTCCTTTATCAATACTGACTCAGCCGCAAGTATTGCATTATGGCAGTAGGAAGGGGCTAAATCTCCTCAGAGACAAATTCACAGAGATGAAGAGAGAATGGTGTCTATCTAGGGGTTAGGAGATGAACATCAGGGAGAGGGGATAGAAATGTGGGGTTAGTACTTATTGTCAGTATACAGTTTCAGAGGGGGAAGATGAGAAAGTTCTGGGGCTGGGATGTAGCTCAGTGGTAGAGTACTTGCCTAGCATGCACAAGGTCCTGGGTTCAAGTTCAATCACCAACACCATTGAAGGAAAGTGTGTGTGTGTGTGTGTGTGTGTGTGTGTGTGTGTGTGTGAGAGAGAGAGAGAGAGAGAGAGAGAGAGAGAGAGAGAGAGAGAGAGAGAGAGAGAGAATGAAGGAATGAAGAGTACTGAAGGGGAAGAAGGCTGGGCTACATTCCACATTTCCCCAAAAGTATGCAGGATCTTTTGGCCTTTAACTTCAAGATAATTTTCCTTAATGAGCAAAAATGTCAGTACTTTGCCTTCTGTGCTAAGAATGGAAGATGCTTCCACGGTCAAATGGAATTGAAAGAGCACTAGCCTGTTTTATTTTTCTCCTTCTTTTTCCCAGGAGTTGTGTCTGCCTTTTTCAGCCTCACCCTGGTAGAAAAGCTGTCAGGATCTTATTTTATCATTTTATTTGCTGGCTGATTTTTAAAAATAGTATTCTTATTTATTCTTTGAGATTTTCATAGATTTACGCATTATATTTTGATTATATCCATCCACCACCATCTCTCTAACTCTCCCCAGTGACCCCTCCCCTGTTTCTAACTTTATGTTCTCCTTCTTTGTTATCAATACCCACAGGGTATTTTTAGTAGCTTATTTTTCATAGATTTTTAATTTTCTCTTATTATATTTTAGAATGCAATTGCATTTATGACATTGAGATGAACACAAACCCCCTTTGTCCCCTTTTGATTTCAGACTTCCCAAGAAATTCATCTACACTGGTCTTAGGGTAAATTCTGAAATCTGACTTGTGGGGTACGTAAACACCACTTCTTTCTCCCATTCCCTATCCGCCATCAGACTGTTGATCCTGAGGCTCAAGACTGAGGTGGGATTTTGTGTCTTTCTCTGCTTGGTGCTTCCAGCTTTGCTTTATACACAGACAGCACCCAGTAAATACAAACTGGGATGATTTTAAGCAAGAGCTGAAGCTAGGAGGGTCAGAGCCGTCTCCAGAGGAGACACCATGCTCATCACCTTCTTCTTCCTCTGGAGTGAATGGAGTGACCCGAGGGACCACCATCGTCCCTTCCAGATCATCTCGTGGTCCAATCCAACCCAACAGCACGTTTTCTTGTTGCACTATACCTGGACAGAAAGGTCAAGATGGCATGGGGTTTGTGTGACATATAAATTGCTCGTTCTATGCTGCATTGGGCCACAGACCCTCCGTTTCTCACTTTCACTGCTGTTACAGCTGTGTTTCTTGCCTGACTAGACACCCTTTACCAAGCCAAGTCCTCTAGAGCAGTTCAAGTGTTGCCCACGGGCCTCAATCCTTCCCTTTCTCTGCAGAGTTGTACTGGGCTGATGGAAATACCCCAGCCTGGGGATGTCTGGACTTGACACCCACCCGCCAGTGGCAGCCACATCACAAGGTGACATGTGTGTTGACTAGTCCGATCTTCTTGCCTCTGCAAGCCACTCTAAGAGCTTCTGTGAGACAAGGCTGAGGCCAGGCTCTCTGAGTGGTGTGGAAATCACAGCTCAGCTCCTTCTCCCTGACTGTCCCTGCTTCCCATGAGACCTGCTCCTCAATAAACAATGGCCCGCAAATCTTCACTTGGGTCCTACTTCTGGCAATGCTGGTCCAAGCCAGCTGTCCATGAAGAGCTTCCTTCTTTCTTTTTTGGTTTCTGCCTGCTTAGCTTCCTGTATGAAGATAACTGCCACTCCACCATGAGGGAGCTTGCAAAGCCCTTCCTTGAGAAGTAGAAAGGATGCTCAGAACCACACAGCATTATGGGGGTCTGATGAAGTGCCTTTGCCTTTCCAGAAGGCTTCCTTGCTTTCTTCTTCCCAGGGAACACTTTAGAGAGTGTTCCAGAAGCCACAGTCTCATGCCCATGCTCAGAAACGACAGGCAGGACATTGCAACAAACGAGAGGAAAGCATCAGGTTGACACTCTGGCCCGCTGTCCACCTCATGGCCGGCAGGCCCAAAGAGCAAAGCAAACACTTCTATGGCCGAGTTATTAACTCGAGCTGGCTTATTCCGCTCCAAGTTCTAACCCTCAAAGTCATTCGTGATAGCTCCTCTTCATTGTCACCTTGACGGACTTGGAATCATCTGGGAGAATCACCTCTGGGTGTGTCCCTGAGGTTCAGGGAGAAGAGAGGACCCTGCTCTTATGTTTGCAACACCATCCAATGGGCTCCATTCCTAAACTAAATCAAAAGGCACAAAGGAGAAATCCAGTTGAATCCATACATTCCCTCCCTGCTTCATGACGATGGACACACGTGACCACCAGTCACCTCATTTTCCTGTGTTCATGATGGACTGGCCCCTCAAACTATGAGTCTACATAAACCTTTCCCTTCTTAAGTTGCTTTGGCCACAGCTGTCAATCACAGCACTTATTTTAATGTTTAAGTTCAGTGTGGGTCAAAGGAGGCTTCTGTGGAGCATGGGAGAAGGTGGCTGCAGAGATGATGTAATGGATGCTCAGGCGGAAATGGAGATAAGGCATACATTTTTTTTTCCCAAAGCAAGGGGAAGCTTAACCGAGTTTCCCCTATTTTTCCTGAGACCTTGGGAACTGTGAGACTTCCTGTGCTCTAAAGTCCTACTTCCTCTCTTTGGCTAAAATGGGGAAGGGAGGTCAAGGGTCATTCATCCACAAGGCGCTGGCAGAGACAACTGTCTGGGCCACACTGGGAGGATCTGAAGGCGATGCTGCCTTCTAAGTTTAAAATGGAAAAATGGAGGGGGGGGGGGTGTCAAAGAAGATCATGTGACTCAAACTGGCGGGTGCCTGTCCCTTGAAAGTGACCTTTCAGAGGCTACAGTGGTGCACGCCTGTCATCTCAGCACTGGGGAGGCTGAGGCAGAGGGACATTGTGAATCTGAAGCCAGCTAGGGCTACACAGTGACCTCTAGGCAAACAGTCTGGGCTACAAGTGAGACCCTTTCAAAAATTAGTCAGTCATCATGCAGTAATGGCTCAGGTTAGGAGTGGGGGCAGGATTTGAAGTGAGCACATCACATTTGTTTATTTATTCATCTGCGCACAAGCTCTGGTGCACTTCTTGAGGTCAGAGGTCAGAGGACAACTTGTGGGAGTTGTTCATTCTCTCCTTCCACCAGATGAGTCCTGGGACTTGAACTCAAGAGCTCAGGAGTGGCGGCTGGTGCCTCCACTCTCTGAGCCATCTTGTATCCTTGTGCACACATTTCAAACTGACCTTTTTTTTAACCCCTGAAAAGCCACCTTTGCCCACTGTATGCTTCCACAGCAGATAACAACACATGCTAGACTTTTTTCTTATCATGCGTTTTGTTGATTCGTCTTTCTGGGGTCTTTCCCCTCATTTTGAACACCCTAGTGCTGACCTTGCTTTCTTCTCTCGTGTCCCACAAGTGTGTGGAGATGACTCGCATCTGGCTGTGTGGATACCTGCCACCAGCCGATGTGTCTAGCATTGGCTCTGGGCACCAAAGAAGAGGTTCTGCTTACTACTCTTGTGGCTATTCAGGCAATCCCATCTGC